ATTGTTGTGGAAACTGTGATACATGTCATTATATAAACATTACTTTTACTGACACGTTTGATGAGTTTAATAGATCTTTGCTAAATAAAATTAACTTTTAATAAAGTTATAAAGCACAAATATATGCATTATCATTATCATCTCAGTGTTGGATCAGCCCCATTACCCTGAGAGCTCAGTGATTTACACATGAAGTGTAGAGACTTCCATCGTCTGTTAATACATTTTCCCATGATGTCCGAGTTTCTTCCATGCTCCATCATAAAGTTCCATCTCTGGCTTTTCCATAGTCTGCAAAATATCATGAATCCCTCCCTGACATTAAACAGGACTGTTCAATTCAAAGGAATATTTTCCAACTTGAACTGAACAAATATTCTAATAGAAGCAAGTTACTAATCACCACAAAAGCCTATGTATACTAAACAGCGAAGACCCAGACACGCATGCCCTTTCTCTTTGTCCTGTTCCAGCTAATGCCACGTCACAGATCACATGACAAACCGCAAAAGAAGGAAATCTAACTGATGACATCGCCTAGTTTATAAACAACTTTGCTTTGGCAACACTGTGACAAATCTCATAAACTGCCAATCCCTGATTCCAAACCCCACCCACTGACTCATGATTCCCCTCAGTGAATAAAGCCTGGTATAATCAAACACACACAAACATGCACACTGTTTATGAACAAATTTGTGATAATAACCGATAAAATATTAAAATTCAAGATGCCTTTGTATACCATGAATATTCATATTCACTATCGTTCATAAAATATTATAGTTTGGGATCAGCAAGATTGCTTTTTTGTAATAAATACTTTTATTCAACACAGATGGATTAAACTGATCAAAAGTTACAGCAAATAAATTTGCTACAGGAGATTTTCATTTAAAAAAATGCTGTTCTTTTGAACTTTTTATTCATTGAAGAACGCAAAAAATGTATGAAACAGGACAACTGTTTCCAATATTGATAATAATAAGAAATATATTTTGAGCAGCAAATCAGCAAATTAATGATTTCTGAAGCATTGTGTGACACTGAAGACAGGAGTAATGGCGGCTGAAAATTCATCTTTGTCATTAGAGTAATAAATTACACTATAAAATATATTAAAACAGAAATTGTGATTTAAGCTTTTTACCATATTTCACAATATACTGTTTTTTTTCTGTATTTTTGATCAAATAAATGCAGCCTTGGTGAGCATAAGAGACTTCTTTCAAAAACATGAAACCCCAAACTTTTGAAGAGTAGTGTGATTATTAAAATGTTTATGTATGATCACGGAATGCAAAATAAAGCGTATCAGATTTCTGAAAGGGATTGTCATATGTTTCAGTCCTTATACTTCTCTCTGCCCCAAAGATGAATGAAGACCATACATTATGCCACAGTATGTGAACAACAATGCCAACCTCTCACCATTACCTACAATTTCAGACAAAAGCTGATGTAGACAAATAAATTGAGCCCATTAAAAAACCTTTAATTACAATAATATTCATTTCATCTGTTTGTTGTATGACCACAAAGTGTATTATTTATTGTTTTTCTTTTTCAAGAAATAACACCATTAAAACAATGAACTTTTAAAAGTATGATATTAATAATCATGAATGTTCTGTGCAGAAATTAGGTAGCTCAGCTACATTAAATATGTGCATTTGTTTGCAAAGGTGATATGCTAATATATCAGCATGAACTATGTGCTCAGTGTCCAGAACTCTGAGCTCTGATTGGATGCTAACTGGGGTCTTTGTGATGTCTGTGGTGCTGTCCTCCTCCTGTGATTGGCTGAGCTGTTCATTGTGCTCAAAAATATGGTGGTCTATGTGGTGGCTGAAAAACAAGAAGAGGAGCTTTTGAGATCTACACAAGATGTGCTTGCATTTAAGATCTGCAGATTTATTGTGATCCAGCAGAATGACACCAGAGAAGGAGCATCCCAGACCTCAAGAGCCAAAACTACAACCCTGAAAGCAATGCTTATGTCACCAACACTCTCATAAAACAAACTCCACCAAATCAATGCAGAGCCATCACCAAACAAACCCATCATATACACTTATGAGCAGACTCGTGCATGCAAAATCTCTTTATAGACCCATTTAAACAGTCATAATTGCTCACCAGCATTCCACCTGGAGCTGCAGGCCCTCCGTATGGTCCCATGGGCCCTGGACCGAAGCCTCCTGGTGGGCCAGGTTGAGGAGGGAAGCCCCCTCCGGGTGGACCCCAGGATCCTGCTGGTACTTGGGGAAACATTCCTCCTCCATATCCTGGGCCTCCATCTGGTGGAAAGGCACCAGGGCCTCCTGGGCCATACATGCCAGGCCCAGATGGACCTGGCGGGTAAGGCACATTTGGATATGGGCCCTGTGGAGCCCCAGGTGGGGAGGGGAACTGTCCAGGAACAGGGTATGGCACGGGTGCCCCACCTGGTGGGAACTGACCTGGCATCGAGGGGAACTGTCCTGGAGCTCCAGGGTTGGAGGGGAACTGTCCAGGTACGCCCGGTCCTGGAGGGTATCCACCCGGGGCAGCAGGGGCTCCGGGAAACTGTCCCGGGGCTCCTGGGCCAGGTGGGAAGGGACCTGGGGCAGACGGCCCAGTCTGAGGGAAGCCAGGTGCTGTTGGTTGGGCAGGGCCTCCTGAGGGTGGGAAATGAGAGCCACCAGGGGCTGCACCAGGCCAGCCAGGATTAGTGGGGGGCAGAGCCCCATTTCCAGGAGCTGATGGATTGGTGTGTTTATTTTTCAATGCTTCACTAGAAACATCATCTGGGATTGCGTCAGCAAGCTACAGAAAGAGAATGCAGAAAAATCACAGCAAAAAAAACACTAGCTGAGAGTTATCAGAGAGACTTTTGGTCTGTTATTATCATCGCAAAGCCAAAGACTAACTAGGACAAACAGTGGGGTCCAAAAGTCTGAAACCAGATTAAAAATATGAGATTGAAAACAAAATTAAACCTGTAAATAAACAGAAAATTGTAGGAGTGTGTAAAAAAATAACACTATGATGTTAAATGAATGATTTTTAATATTCCACAATATTTCTAGGTATTACTAGCTAATTAAATAAACAAATTTGTGACATTTTAAATTCTTTTGGCAAAAGGTTAGACATTTTTGCTTCCACTGAAGTACAAGATGCTCTGTGGATCAAATAATGCTGGACAACATGATCATCGGGCTTGTGGAGTTCATGCAGCTTAGGTGCTGCTGTCATTAAACAAAATAGGGGAAAACCACATTTTTTATTAAATATGTTTTACTTTAACTTATACTGTTCTTATGCTGATAATTAAAATAATTATTTAATTATAATAAAGTATAACAACATTTCATTTTATACATTTTAATAAAAATAGGTAATTTCTATAATTAAATGATAAAAGAATGCATAACAGAAACTTTTTCACTAGTGGGTTTATGCTGGTTTCACTGTATTATACACTGGATATTCTGGTATATCTCTACTATTTTTCATTTAATTATTGAATATATGCGCTGAATAAAGATATTATATCAATTAAACTAAGAAATTTAAATAACTACTATTACAGTCATTTCTACTGCTGGTAACACGGATAAAATGTCTTACTTTACTAACACAGGAGAAAATACAGCCTAAACTAATAAAAATTAACTATTGAAACTATTGAACAAGATTATTTAGAAAACACTTACCGAAAAGTCTGCCATGGCCTAAACAGATACAAACGGTGACACTTAGTGACATGCAGTTGTATATAATTCAGATTCTGTCTTAAGTATAGTACATGTAACGTTACTAGTTATACAGACGCTAACAGAGCGCAACGTTAACGTCACTGTATCAAACACACTCTCGCAACTATTTAAGTTATACTTTAAAATGTAAGATCAAATCAGGCATTCCAGCTCCACATAGTTTAATCTGTGTAGTGCTATACATGCGCATTTGAGTGAAATGTTAGCAGTTTTGTGGGCATCAGTAACGTTACCTTGACTGGATCAGGGCCTGCGGTCCGAGGATTGAGGATTGGGGGTTCAGAGCAGCACCAGGTCCCGTCGCCCGAAAAGATCCTAAAGTCAGAATTACTAAACTCTATACAGGAAGTGAGGTGACAACTGGAACATTGAGGGTTTTCAACAGCGTGTTTGAAAACATTGTGAGCGCCAAATAATATGGATGACACATTAACTACTGTAGTTAAAGGAACAGAACAATCTACTGCGTTTATAGATCAGATATGAGCGTTATGCAGGCGCATGCTCCCCGATGGGCGTGTCCTCTGAGGGATGGGCCGGCTCATCTGCGCATGCGCAGGGGTTACTGACGAAGTGGGCGTTTTCACCCCTGGGAGGCTTAAAATATAACAACCATAATAACAACTGGCTTAGAAACTTTTCCAGTTTTCTAAATGCCACTTTCCACGAATAAAGCCTTGAAAAGGTGAGGTTTTTCCAACAAATGGTGAATGTTGACAAAATGTTGATTGTTTCGGGTTTGTACTGATACATTTATATTTTCCATAAATTAAGAAAAATATGATATTTTTTAATGCTTATATCATATACAAATAAAAAAGACTCTAATGCTTAAAAAGGAGTGGGACTACAACGTGTTAATAGCTACATGTCTGTAGCTATTTCTGAATGTGCTTTTAAGTGAAATACGTTCTGTATATTTTATTATTATAAAATTATTATTAATTATTATTATCATCATTTTAAACACCAAAGTCACTTGTACATTGAATATTACTTTTACACTACAGTAAATAAATTAATTATGGCACATTTGCGTGCATTTCATATACTAATTTATTTTATTTTGAACGAATAGCTGGCAATATATCTAAATCCTCTAATTTCCCCGTAGGGTGGAGAAAAGTGTGCATCCGATAGTTCTTTCCATGAGCATCAGTTCATGCCTAAATGCTGCTGTTCTGGGATCAGACAGATCTCGTCCTTCTATGGGTGAAATAAACTGATCCTAGTACAGACGTTTATGCAAATTGTGTCGCGTTCCAGTGCTCTGATTGGTCGAACGAGCGTCACGAGACGCGGCACGGTAGAACTCCTGCACTGCTGAGCTTGTGCCGTCTGTGAAAATGGTGAGTACAAAAACTGCCTTGGATTAATAAAAACATTTGTATGGCGGCCCTCTCTTGTAGGATGTATAATAACACGGAGGCATTTACAAATAACGCCGTACGCCTCAACGGTCTGGGATACGTGTATGTTAGAGGGGTTGTTTTTTTCTGAGCCCTGTTGCAGTTCCACCCAGTGCTTTGTGATGAGCTGCATGTCAAACCCTCTCTAGCATTACACCGACTTCATAAAGTTTACCAAAATAAAGGCACGTCTGGCGTTAAATATACCCCAAATCTCTGTTTTGAATTTTCACGAGATAGGATTGCCTTACATAATTGTGATATGATGGAATTCCGGCGGCTCCGGGGGAATTCTCATTTCCTGTTGCAGCCGTGCTCACACTTCAGTATTTCAAGGAAATTTGGGAAATCTGCTAAGCGACAAAGAGACGGTGTGGCTCCTTTACTTTGAATGGCACGTCAAGCCACGATCAAACAATGTAATCAAATCAGAGCAGAAATGACAAGCAATGTAATGAAATAACACTGCACGTCAAAACACGTTTGCCCACTTCGTCCGCCTCATCGACAGCTAAGAACGTGATTGTTCTCCTGATGACACCAGTGTGATGATGACCTACACTGGTTGTCATGGTGCATGACTTTTGTGAACTCCTTTTCCTTGTGATGTTGTGTGCCAGAGTAGACAGGTGGTTTTATTGTTGAGTTGGCTGTATTGAAACAGTTGTGATTTTAACAGAATTACACAATCGGAAGAAATAGTCAATAGTTTCCATGCTCACTGCATTCAGTCTGTTTGTTACTTGTTACTCTCAACATTTTTGACTCCAAGACCCCTTTGTCCAGGTCAATATTTGAAGGCTCGACTATCTAAGCTGATATGTACATCTGGTAGTACTAAAAACAAATAAACTCAAAAATGATGTCAGTTTAATGTTGCACATTTGTATTTTTGCGTTTCCAGCATTTGTACACATTTGTATTTTTGTGTTTTTTAGTATTGTAATTAATATTTTATTAATATAACTACATTTATATAATTGTAAGACTTATTGTGCCCCCCAAAACTTTGCAAAGGCCCCAGTTGAGAACCAATACTTTGACAAACTCTGAACCCTGAGTGTGTCCCTAACCTGTATGACTCCTAATCAAAGAGATTAATTGGGAGTTTCTCCAGTTATGTAGCCAGTTATGAATTATTTATACACTACTACTATTCAAAAGTTTGTACACAATTAACTAAGCAGACTGAAAATAGTAATAAAGCTGACTGACATGTGGAAAATAGTAACAATAATGTGTGTGTGTGTGTGTGTGTGTGTGTGTGTGTGTGTGTGTGTGTGTGCAGAGTGAGTCTTTAGTTGTGTGTGAGGTGGACGAAGACCTGGTGAAAAAGTTGCGGGATTTCCGCTTCAGGAAGGAGACTAATAATGCCGCCATCATCAGTGAGTCAAACTTAAATTAAACTCTTACACACTCAAGCTGTTCCATATATGCTTACACTTTCTCATATAGCGTAAGGACTGAATGCTGATATTGCTGTTTTTGTCCTCTGGTTACAGTGAAGATTGATAAAGACAAACAGCTGGTGATTCTGGAGGAGGAGCATGAGGTAAATACACACTGTTATTGCATCAACATGCAATACATAGCTTTCTAGTGGGACTAATAATTGAGCTGATTAGTGGTGTTAAACCAGGGTTTGATTTCTCCTTGTAGGATATTTCCCCTGAAGACCTGAAGAATGAGCTACCAGAGAGACAGCCCAGATATCCTTCACTAAAACAAAACTCACTCTGTGCAGTACTGTGATTAAACTCATGAAATGTGTCTATTCAGCATTAAACAATCATTGGATTCCTTAACCTGTGACACATTTGTAGTCTACAGCTATAAGTACCAGCACGATGATGGGAGAGTGTCCTACCCTCTGTGTTTTATCTTCTCCAGTCCTGTTGGTAAAGAAAATACACATATTCAATAGTCAACATGCACAAACCCTGTTATATGAGGCAGTTTCTCCAAAATGAAACTTCTCTAAAATGAAACTTAATTTCCCAGGATGCAAACCTGAGCAGCAGATGATGTACGCCGGCAGCAAAAACAAACTGGTACAGACGGTTGAACTGACCAAGGTGAGCTCTAACTAACACACCTAACCTTACACCCAGTGATGTTGTGGAAATTCTTTTTTTAATTTGTCTGTATCTACTTTCTCTCAGGTGTTTGAGATCAGGAACACTGAAGACTTGACAGAGGAGTGGCTCCGAGAGAAACTGGGCTTCTTCCGCTAAGAAAGGACCGAACAAGCTAACATTCGTGTTAAGAGTGACCGAGATGGGACCATCACCTCCAAACAGAGAGAATACCATAGTCCATCTGATAATGTCTGTTTGTGTATGTTTGAATGCTTCTGCCCAAACTCTAAACCCACCTGTACCAGTTTAAGATGACAGAAATATGAGGTGCAAAGAAATGAAAATGTGAAAGCAAATTCCACATATACACTGAACAATTCCTTGGATTTTTAAAACCATTCTGCTCTCGTCCCTGAGCAGTAACGTATGTACTGGCCTGCATAGGTGGTCCAGTCTTACTGCCATGATAGTTGGATGACATGTTGCGATTTTATGTCAGCTATCCTTCATGATAGATGACATGGCAACAGATTTAAACATTGTAAAAATCTATAATGTAGCATGTTTTGCCCGTTTTGGTATAAAATCACATAAGTCTTCATGTAATGCCCTGATAAGGGCCAAACATTTTCTTCCTTTGTAAAGCATTTTCTAACTTTAATTTGACCAAACATGAATTATTTTGGTTTGATATGTGTTGAACAGTAACAGTAGGTGAAGAGGTCAGAAGTCTTACTGATATTTTTGGGAGAAATCGTTTACTGTTTCTGACCTGTTGTCATAAATTCATTATTTTTTTGCCTTTTTAAATCTGCTCACAGCGTGATAAACAAATCTCGACTAAAGATCTAGAATCTGGGGACAATTGGGTGAAAGTTCTGGGACTAATTTTACTTGATTTAGTGTTTTTGGGAGAGGGGACATAGAATTTGTCACCCGGACGTCCTTAATCACAGATCTGCCCTACCTTTTTGGAGATGTGTAGGTTTAGATGTACATCGGCAGAGATGTGCTATGGTGTTATTCTGCCACAGGCAGGCAATCATCTAATTCCTCTGTTATTCTAAATTAATCTTTCTCACTGTCCAACTAAACGCTGGAATAAAACTGGTGTCACTATTCTTAAGTTTATTCAAAGCATCACTATTTCCGTATTTATGTAAAAAACAATCTTTCTATTGGCAAAATGTAAACACTGGAAATTTCTTAAATGTTCAAAGCTTAACAGAGTAGTATGAATAATTTAAGGAAGTGATGTTATTATGGGTTTGATAAGTAATACCACGGCAGATCTCACATCTTTCAGAATTTGTGAGCTCTAATGTGGGTCAGGCTCATCTCTGTACATCTGTAGAACCTGTAACACCTGTGATTAGTGCTGTTTCCTACTAAACACTGTTTGCTCACTTTGGTGGCTTGTATGATGTGGACATCACATGATTTGTCCCATACAGTAGTCAACTGTGTATGTGTTTAACATTTAATTTTTAATGACTGAAGAAGCTTTTACTGATCATTTATAACTCAAGTTCTCTCGAAACCAGAAAAAAATGTTAACCTTTCAATATGTGTCTCAATTACATTTGTCTTGTTTAACATTTAATTTTTAATGACTGAAGAAGCTTTTACTGATCATTTATAACTCAAGTTCTCTCGAAACCAGAAAAATGTTAACCTTTCAATATGTGTCTCAATTACATTTGTCCGCTGTTTTGAATAATTAAGTAAAAGGTTTTTTCCTTGCAAAATGTGACCATGTGCTTAACTGGAGTGTTCTTGATTGATATTGACACCTTGTTCTATTTTTAAAGGTTGAAATAACGTCTGATACAAAATATAATTACACTGAATGTTAACATGGTAAATATGGGTACGTTACTGGTTTTAGCAAAGTTTACTGGTGGGAGTGACTAATGAATACTGGCGATTAATACTTAAGAGTACAATGAAGATTTAGTAAAGGATTTTCTGCATTCTATCCTGCTTACTTGGGTAGGAAGTATAAGAGAGCAAATGTAATTCCGTTACAAACAGACATGGTAATTTAGCCATGCTCATTACCTTGTGGCTATTCTATGTTCCACAAATGCTGGGTTTGCATTAGTAAACCAATATGTGACCCTGGAGCACAAAACCAGTCTCAAGTCGCTGGGGTATATTTGCAGCAATAGCCAAAAATACATTGTACGGGTCAAAATTGTAGATTTTTCTTTGCTTTGCACCCTCAGATTCCAGATATTCAAATAGCTATATCTCAGCCAAATATTGTCCTATCATAACAACCCATACATCAATGCTGAAAGCTTATTTAATCAGCTTTCAGTTGATGTATAAATCTCAATTTTAAAAAATTGACCCTTATGACTGGTTTTGTGGTCCAGGGTCACACATATATATATA